TTCACTAAATGGCCAAGGCTGGCCTTAAATCTTTCATCCTCCTGCCTCAGACTCCTGAGTTGCTCAGATGAAAGTGTGAGTTTTGGACCTCACCAMGTTGATACATAGTTTTTTTCAGAAGGTACATTAAAATGGGTGGCATCTGGTTTCCTGCTTCCATACATTAAAAGCAGCCCCCCAAAAGCTAACACAACTTTTGAAAAGGCATCTGACACCTATGAGTGCTAGAAAAATACTCATTTTCCAGCAGGTTARTATGATGGCCTCACACACCATATGATAAAAAAATGAGTATGTTAAGCACCATCATCTAAAGTAACTTTATTCTTCCCATCAGACAGAAAAAATCCAAAACGGAAACACACCTCAATTTGAAATTTTAGGAGGTAGAATTTTAAAAAAAAATTTTTTTTCACAAATAGAAATTTAGAAGTTCAGATGTTTACTAGCACTTTTCTCCCTAACAGCTATTTAACCTGTAAAGTTCTTTAAACTGACCCATCATTTCCAATGGTAGCACATAAAGACTGTGACCAATAGTAATTTGTCTTGAAAAATGACATTAGCAATATCCAAAAACACTGAAGCAGCTCTGCAACATTTCTAAGGTACCTGAGTTCTCTTATTTTTTTGTTGCTATAACTGGGTAATTTATTTATTTATTTATTTTATTTACTTTTTTTTCTAAGGGACTTTTAAATGGGCATCCGGCAAATAAGTAAAAATGACATCTAGGGAGGGGAACACTTGATAGACCCTGATTTTCCTTTATCAAGGGATACTGAGATAGGGCTTTTAGGAAGAGACACTGGGAGCATGCACTAATTGTATGTGATTGCTTTGACTCTCCCCTAAGTGTTCAATGGTAATGCATATAGTTTATGTCAAAGGAATGTTTTYAAGAATGACTTTGAGACTTCAAATTGTTTCGTCACTTTAGATTAGTTCAAAAGATGCTATAACTGAAATACAATGCAAATAGTCTTCAATTTAAAATGCCATCTGTATATTTAGAAGTTCAAAGTATTGCCAAAAACAAACAAAAAAGAAATAAGAAAAAATAACGGTGCCCAATGTGATAGTAGAATTCTAAGATGACTCCTGGGGACGTGGTATACCTACCTCCATGGGGATGGATGTGACTTGTGAATGTGATGGGAATTCCTGGATTAGGACACTAATCAGCTGACTTTCAGTTAATCCAAAGGAAGATTTCTGATCTTTTGGGTGGACCACCTGACTTGGGCAGGTGAAATCTTGTACATATGTAAGTGTGTTGCAAGCTTCCATGCTGTGAGAGGGCCAAAACCCAAGCAAGGAAGCTGTCAACGAAGAGGGAACCTCAGGCCAGATAGCAGGAAAAGAGGACCTCAGTTCTAGGATTGCAAGGAACGACCTTGTGCCAACAACCCTGAGAGCCTGGAGTGGACCTGAGATAGGGATTAGATCAAGAGAGAGAAATACTGAATCTTAAAGAAAAYACCCACAAGCCACGGAGACATAGAAAACMTAGTTGTAAATCTTGAACAATATGCCMTTGTAAAATGAGGGAAATACTCATTTTACAAGGGCAGGGAAAACTAGCATGACATTGTGCAGCTCCACCCAGGATCCACCCCCAGTCCAGCCCTTAATACAGCCCTTCTATAAATACTGGACCCCAGCCCAAGTCAGGGCTGCTTCTTGCTTGAGACAAGTCTGCATTCTCCCTTAAATGTTTATCTGCCTTCCTAAATAAACCTCTGAGCCTTTGTCTGACTTGTGCTGAAATTCTTTTCCATCACTTAYACTAAGAAYCCTACTGGTCCTGAGTGGAGTTCTCTCCCCTCTGGGAACTCTTCRGGCCCTTTCCCAGAGACATCTCTTCTCCAGTGACATAAGACCTCAGCAAAACCACGGACCAGCTAACAATTTGACTTAAGTCTAGTGAGACTGAGCAGAGAACCCAGTCACACCATGCCAGGGTTTCTATACRCAAAACTAGAGCTGATAAAGGGGTAATTTTAAACCACTAAATGTATGCTCATTTGCTATGGTGCGATAGAAAATTCATATATCAGTTCTTTCTGGAACTAGAAACTGAGAGTTAAGAGCTTGTTACAGACTTTCAGTTTAAGATGGTAGARTATTAAAATCTCTGCCCCCTTTTTTTCCTTGAAAGTCATCCAACAACAAAGTTTTAAAATAAGTGATTTAAAAAAAAAATCCAAAACAGAAAAAGGAGGACAGAGTTAAAAAAAAAAAAAAAAAAAGCAAACTCCACTTTTAATGCAACCAAGAGGTATTGTCAACTCCAAATGGACCACAGGTASAGGTGGACAAGGCCTTGTTAACAGGTCAGTTTGTTATGCACAATGGGAAGGGGAACAGCAGGGGTGTAGTAGGCTGTAATACTCAAGCAGGTAGACCTGGGTTCTCTGCTCTCCCCAGGGCTGATTTGGAGACAAAGGGCAAAGTGAAGCAAGCAGGAAGTGAAAACACCCTCATTTCCCTTAGCTGACTTCAAAGAGCCACATTTCTCAGGCTGGAAGAAGAGGATTCCTCCYCTCCTCTAGAGAAACCTGTCTCTTCAAGGAAAAGACCTGCAGAAAATGGTTAAAGCAAASAGCCTCCCTGCAGGGAAGCCCAGGAGTTAGCAAGCTCCACCTGCAGCTTTCATCAGCTCAGAGGAAAGCTTCCAAGTGCCAAGGACTGCAAGGCCAACCAAAGTGGGAAAAGCCGCTCAGAGGAGAAGCAGGTAAACAGGGAGATTATTCTGAAAATATTACAATTAGAAAAATGAGATACCAGGGGTCCAAGTAATAGGGGGAAAAATGCCCGGGATAATCGCAACAAGATCAAACTCTCAAAAATATGTGARTTGAAATATAATTTTTAACAGAAGGAATGGAAGATAAAAGTGGAATGGATCTTTTAGGAAGTAGAGCAAAAAGATAAAAATAGAAAGTTAGAATTCAATTAAAAAAATAGAGGGTCAGTCTAGCAAGTCAAATAGTATATAGTTACAAGTCTCAGAGARAGGACTGAGAAAACAGGTAAAAAAAAAATTATCAAATAAATAACACATTCCCCCAAATGTGGATTCCCACAATTAAACCTGAGTACCCAGTAATGGAAGAGAAAAGGCCCACACCAAGATATGTTTTCGGGAAATCCCACAACACTGGGAAGGAAAAAGGAGTGTTCCAAAAAGAAGATTCCAAAGATTTGTGAGAATAATATTGCGTCACAAACAATAAACAAGGAATGAAAACGGGCAATTCAGTGGTAACTTTGGAAGCTGGAAGACAGCGATTCAATGACTTCAGAATTGTGAATGATATGTACCCCCCAAACCAAAAATCTACACCTCATCCATTTATTAATCAACCATGGGAGTACGATAAGAACATTTTCAGAAATATAAAGTCACATGCACAAAAATCATCTCCCATGCACTCATTCTCAGAAATAATCAGGATGTGTTCTATCAAAACAAGCATTAAGCTAAAAGAAAGGCACAGGAGGCCACAGTGGAACAATCCAGACAACAAAGGGAAGTTCCAGGGCGGCAGACATTCCAGAGGGATTGGGCCCCAGGGAGAAGGGCTGTATGAGGCCGGGGGCCAACAAAAGGAACTGACAGATTTTCTAGTAGTTTTGGCACAGACTCAGAGACATTTAACATGAGTCATACTTTGACCTTCTATTGACATTCCCACCTTGGGTTGGATCCCAGCTATTCTCTCTGCCTGGAATGCTCATTTCCAAGAGCCATATCATTTCTCTTCATCAATTTTAGGACTATATTCAAATGTCAGCTTGTTTGTCAGATGGTTTCCCAAACTGTTTCCTTGTTTTCCCCATTAGAGACATTTGCTTCCCCAATCCAAATTTCTCTTAGTACTCACCACTCCATGTAATATTATAGATTATACTTATTGACCACCTGTCCCCACCAAATKTAAGTCCCATGAAGGTAGGGAATTTTTTACTTGTTTTAACAGAACAGTATATGGTAGGGGACCAAAAAACATTTTTTTAAATGAATGGTCACGTTTTAAAAAMAAATTAAGTCAACTGTTTAAGAATGAGAAAGTTTCAAAGTCAATGGAATCTGACATCACTTAGTTCAGCAGTAAATACTTATGCAATTGAAATAATGAAAACACTGTGCAGATTCATCCAAAAATTATGCGGTACTCACAACTATAAATTCCTTTCTAATAGAAGACTAACAAGAGTAATGGAGGTTTGTTAGGTTATACAGTCATCCTCCAACATCAAACAGAGGCAATGGGCAGTTTCTAAATTTAGTGATTCAAGAAATAATACATATTTTTGAAAATAGGAGAGGGGGAAATGGCTTAAAATTGTTAAGTCATGTCAGTAGAGTGCACAGGACTGCTGCTTCATTTCATACATCAGCTCTTGTAGATGTTCTAAACTGCATGCATATCATTTGATAAAAGTGAAGCAGGGCATCTAYTTAAAGGAAAAATGATGGCTCTCCAAAGTTCGAAGAAAGTTAGATTCTTTGTTATTTGTATCACAGTGASTGGGAAGAGTACTCCATAAACACCTTCTGGGTGAATGGATAAATTTTGACTGCATTGAGACACATGGAAAATAGTTGCAGTATTTCACATGAAATCTTGAGTATAACGTTTCTGACAACAGAAAGATAAAATGCTTTATATAAAAAATTTTTGATACATATCATTGAAAAAATAAAAAGTGTGCTTTTAAATCATGATGAATAATTATTAATACGTTCAAGACTAAAAAAAAATTCTTAAAAACTTTTAGTAAGAATTCATTATAGAAAAGTTAGGCTTTAATAGCCATATACTGCCACCTAGTGGCTAGGCCTATAAGTACTGCCGGGTTTTGGCACCTGGAAAGATGCTTTTCCTTAAGCTAGAGAATAAATAACTTTATATCCATGCTTTTCTYAATTCATCAACTGAATCCTGAACAGAAATACAAATATAGAGGAAAAACAGGCAATAAAGCTAAAGTATTTTATTAATAATTTATTGTCAGTAAGAAAGACTGGCTAATGGTAGTTTTCAGTAAAAACCTTTACAAGACCATTGCATCACAAATATACAGACACTATAAAAACTGTGTCATGGTGGTTTTGGTCCTAAACAGGTCTGCAGAAGGTCCCCATTACACTTTCCATAATGAAAAATGTTTATAATTCTAAAATACAGCAACCCATTTAAGACATGTCCATGTATCATATTTTCCCTCATCCTGTATGTACAGCTAGAAATAAATGACTATATTGAAATGTGTTAATGAAATGTCATACTTCAGTGGAAAAGAACATATAGTGAAACCCTGGTTATAGTAAAGAATCAGGGTGCTAGGTAATGACACTTAATACCACCAAAATTCAGCTGAAAACAAATGCACAGAGTGTCTCCAAAGTCTAGTTAAAACTATGAAAAATCAAATCTGTACATAAAATTTACAAAAAAAGAGAAAGGAAAATTAAAATAATCAAATCTATATAAATATATGAACCATGCTAACAAGATGGTAGGACTTATTTTCGCTTCATTATTTTAACAGACAAATGTAAATACAAAAAAAGATGTTCAGAAATGGCACAGCCAATGAAATCTCGTCCAATTACAGTGGGTTAGGACACGGGAAATGGCTAACATCAGGAAGCGCAGGATTCAGTGCAGCCATGCCCATTGTAGCTCACCGAAAAAAGCGCTTAAGCACTGCTGCAAAGAACAATGCAGATTATTGATATAATCTCTAGGTTTGGTAAAGTCAGGCACTTTGGGGGGAAGTTTGAGTGTCAGACTTCCGTGTGTTGTTGAGAATCCAGTGGAGGAATCGTCACCTCTTCAAAGTGGCCKTCGTCTCCACTCTCATAGTCACTCATCATGACCTCAGACTCTAYTTCACAGCACGCTGACACATCAGAGCAGGAAGCTGTGGAAGCGTACACGGACATGGGCATGTTTTCTACAGTGGAGGAGTCAAAGTTTCTTTGATACCCTGGAGGGTAAGGGGCATAGGGTTCTCTACAAGTACTATTCTCACCAGTGCCTTTTTTTTGAGGTTCAGACATATCGACAGGATAGAAATTGGGCAGATACTGATTCAAGTTGAACCTCTGCCGATTTCTGGATGAAGACCCCAAGCTATCTGCAGCAGGCATGTCTCTAGGTGGGTGTATAGACTCAAACTGATCGCTGAATTCTGGAGGCAATGGTGGTAGTTCATCAGGTGCAGGGAAGTCTTCCGGAGGTGGTGGAAAATCACTTTCAATGTCGTAACCTCCAGGATAATAGTCTGTATCGATGGCATTTGGATCTGCTGAGTAGAGGGGTGTATGCTCATCAATAACCTCATAATTGGGGAACTCTTGTATATCTGGCAGAGGAACACTTGGCATCCAATCTGATGTATCCCAGTGGTACCCTTGGTAGAAAAGAAAACAAGAGATTTCAATGTGTTTTCTCCTAGATATTGTGATTTGGAAAAAGGGCTCAGTGTTTCAAAGACACAGAGATGCAAAACGATTTATGCATTCATTCAAAGCTCATCACTTTGGAAACCCATCTTTGCCCTGAAGACAGTGCCCCACCCCGACTCAATTCCRAAGATCATTATGAACATGGTTCTCTTTCTAAAATATGAACTCCTAACATTCAAAGACATGAAAAGAGTTCTAAGAAAAACAACATGTAGCATCCAAATTACATGCACTTTTCTACAAACAATTCCATCACCCTTTCAAACTACTTTGTGCAATTTAGAAATCATTGTTCTGAATGAAGAAAGTATTAGTTCTGTCTTAATACTAGTTAATACTAACTTGTCAAAATAATAAAAGTACCCTTCAACGTGCTAAGTTTAGAAAATAAGCTTTCTTTACAATAACTTAGTGTTTATTTAAAAGCAGTACTATTTTTTATTAGCCTCAGGAAAACAATAAATTATGGTAGCACACATATCAAAGCATGCTTCCAAATCAAGCAAAATTRCAAGCCTTGAAAAACAGAACAGTGTTTGGTAGACTACAACAACCAATCTTTGCTATTTTTGAAAGGGTTAAGGATTGTTTGATTATATAAAAGTATCATTATAATTATTTTTTAAAAATAAAACCTTCTCATTTGGGGTTACCCACTCCACCCTTAGGATTTTTAAAAATCCTTTTGATAACTAGGAAAAGGTTAGGCAATGCGTGCTTAGAAAGCAGTGCACAACAAACGCRGATTTGGTTGCTACTGCAAACACTGAGCAACCAAGTGAAGCAATTCAGCACTGGGGTCAAATCGTTACCAATGACTTTTAGTGATTATCAATGAACAACTGGCATGCATAAGTCACCTCTTGATTTGCTGAGGTCAGGAGCAGCCAAAGATTCTTTTGGTGGCAGAGTAGAAAGAAAAGAAAACATTGATAATTAAAACAGATAGCTGAAGAGGCAATAAAGTACACAGTACAATGTAAACTGTAAAGGCCCAGTCAGCCAGAGACTATGTCTTGACACCATTATCTATGAAAATTCCAAATGGCTGAAAAATTTATGTAGCACACATAAAATGGAAGCAGCAGCAGAATATGAATGATGATGAACCAGAGGCTTTGCTAGGAAACCCAAACATAGTTTACTTTTCGCTCCTTGTTTCTGACAACCTAAACCTGAAAACAGAATTTTCTTAGGAATAATTAAAATCTACAGGCTCTAAAAAAATATATAAATTGATCAGGTTACTCAGGCGATTATCTGAATATATTTAAATCTACATAATGTACAACTTCATAGCACACTATCACTGTCAAATGTACSGAAGTCATGAACTTAGACAGTTATAGATAACTGAAAATCGCTCCAAAGCTTTATCCAACATTAAATGAGATTTTTATATTTACACTATTAATCTTTCCCTAGAGAGATGGGTAGCTACACATATTCCTCAACCTCCTCCCCTGAAAACTGTCATTACGCTTGCTTTTTCAGGGATCACATTTATACACAGGACTCTAGTGCTAGGTCAAAGGAAGTAGATGTAAGTCTCAGGGTCTCGGGACATTTACCCTGGCTAAGCTTTGGGTTCTCTCTTTGAACAGGGCTTCAAAAATCCCTTATCTGTTATGAATATTAAACAACTCTAGTCAAAAACTCTTAGGTACTACTGATAATTGCAGAAGGAGTAATCATGGTAGAAACAGGGTTACTTTTCTGATTATTCTAAGACCAACGTTTCCAATACATTCTATAAAGTACTTGAAAACCCATGTATGTAATAARTAATTATTATTATTAATATTTTATCAATTCATAATAGGAATTTAAATAAAAAACCGATAAAGACTGATGGTTCTAAAAACCAAATAAACCAGTATTTATGATTTTTTTAAGTTATTAAAAATGTTAACAATTCTGGGGCTGGGGCTGGGGCTGGGGTTGGAGCTGAGTGGTAGCACACTTGCCTGGCATGTGTGAGGTACTGGGTTCCATTCTCAGCACCACGTGTAAATAAAGAAAATAAAGGTCTATCAGCAACTAATTTTTTTTTTTAAATTTAAAAAAACAACGTAATAAAATTCCTTTTAAAAAAAATGAAGATTGGCAACTTGTGTTAATAATTAAGTCCTTGATCAGCCTTAGAATTTAAGCTCGCTTTCAACTTTAAATTTATACTTAAAAATTTTTTCAGTGAAAGAGATGGCAGCAAAGGAATTGTTTTAAACATCCCTATTTAACATGTTGGAATGTTATCATGTTAAAACTAGAATTCCCTAGACAAAATAAAGATAGCCTTCTTAGTCGCTACATACAAAACATGGTACTTTTTAAGGAAAGTAAATCTAAGGATCATCAGTAACTTCAATTAACACTGAAAGCTCAACCCTACCCCTTTCTCTCAAATCTGGCAAAAAAATCATCCTAAAACTTGACAGCACACATGTGTAGCAAAAAGAATTCCTTGAGCTTTACGGTGATGGCTGTTTGTATACATGGGGGTGGGGTAAGGGTGGGGATTGAAYCCAGGGGAACTTTACCACTGACCTACATTCCCAGCACTTTTAATATATATATTTTTAAAYTTTAATACAGGATTTCATTAAATTGCCAATGCTGGCCTTAGATTTGCCATCCTCCTGCCTCAGCCTCCTGAGTAGCYAGGATTACAGGTGTGCACCACAGYCTGGCTGGATGCTCTTGATGGCCTAGGTAAGTGAACTCTTGGGGCTATTAATTCCTAAATCAGGGACTTTAGAGTTAAATGGGAGCTTGTTAAAATGCAAATTCTCAAGGCCCAACCCAGACCTATTTGATCAGAAACTTGTACTGGGAACCAGCCATCAGGCTTTGAGCAAGACCTCCATCCAGGGGATGTAATCTGCATCACTGTTTGAAAACTACTAGCCTGGGCTTTTTTCATGTGTTACTCTAACTGCCACGCACTAATAAAGGGCTAATTTGAAATAAGTTGAGGGGTGTGTTCTATGTCCTTTCTTGTAATTCTAAACAGATAYAGCTTCAAATTAAATGGTTTTCACTAAATCAATTATAAAAAAAATACACCTTATATCATGTTAGATCATTTTCTTTGATCCCATTCAGAGAAAAACCAAAAGCCAGGTGTCAGTTTTAGGTAAYTAGAAAGGCTTTGTGGTATTTAGTCCTCTTCTGTTCATAGAAAGATTTTTTTTTTCCTCTTAAAACTTTTAGATAGAATTACTTCTCAACTTCTTGGCATTGTACCACCTAAAGATAAGTTCTCAAGATCCTATGGGTTACTTCTGATGTCAGGATGAATCACTATGAATGGTAAAAACTAACAAAGAGATATAATCCCAATGAAATGTTTCTGCAATGCCCCTGAATTATGAATACACACACCCTCACAAATTAAAAATACTGAAATGAAACCTCCCAAAACCACAAATTATTTTTCATAACAACACAACAGGCAAAGCACAGCCTCCATTTTTACAGTCAGTGTACAACAGAAACACAAAGCACAAGCATTTATGACGATACCTTCTTTAGTCACCGTGTCAACGACAGCATTGACAAGGTGTATTACAGTCACTATGGAAGCTTGTGAAAAGGTACAAAAGGAGTCAATTAGGAAAATCTTCAGTTAGTTAGAAAACCGAGAACAAAATAAAATTTCTTAACATTATGTAATTTCTGCCTTACAATTTAAAAATGTGAAAAACAGAAATCTCTAATACAACCATATAATTATGCATGACCCCTGCACTCTTTCTGTTATGGCTATGTCTCAGGGATTTTTCTCATCAAGCTACATATGTATTATTGTTAATGAATGGAATAAAGTAACTATTTCAGTGGAATTTAGGACATCTGTTTTTAGCTACAAATTTTTCACCACTGTAATTACTGATCATGTTGGGCAAAACAATTATTATTTTAACATCTCAMGGATAAATGACTTCATATTTAAAAAGTAAAGAAATTTAAGGACATACATATGCAATAAAAATACAAAATTGGTTTTGTGCTTCTTTGTTCTCTCCCCCCTCCCCCCATGTCCCTGTAATTTCTTATCTTACTACAGAGGGACCAACAGCTGGTGAGCTAACATACCAGCAGAGAAGTACAGAAATATTTGGCTTTTTCCTGGGTGAATGCCCTTTCACCTGTGTAATAGATTGTTTTAAAATATCTATGCATGTGATGKGCAGAAGGATGGCCCCCCCAAAATGTCCACATCCTGAAACTGGGAACCTGTGAAAATGTTAACATATATGGCAAMAGGAACGTTACCAACACGGTTAAGAACCTTATGGATGGAGAGACTTTCCTGAGTTATCTGGGGGAGCTGACTGAATTAATAAGGGTATTTGAAAGGGAAAGGGAAGAATCTTTACCAGCTGTGGCTGGAGGGAGCTATGACTACAGATTAAYGGTCAGTGACATGCCATTCTGCCTTTGAAAGATGAGAAGCCATGAGTCAAAAGATGTGGGCCTCCTGGAGAAGCTAGAAAAAGAAGCAAACAGATTCTTCTCCTAGAGCTTTCAGAGGAATGCAGCACTACTGACCCCAGGATTTTAGCAATGCGTAGTGGATTTCTGTACCACAGAACCACGAGATAATTATYCGTGCAGTTTTGAGCCAATAGGTTTGTGGTAAACTGTTACAATTGGCTTGGAAAACTATTAATGAAATCTAAGTACAGACTCAGCACAGACTTAAACTTTATGATCGAGAATGATTAAATTATTAAAATATTAACCATTCCTRTACATGTCTTTTCCTCACACTGTATTATCTGGTAATTAATTTTTGTAAATAATTTGGCTATAAYGTGTTCAAAGAATTTAGGAGTATTAGGAAGAAGAACRTGGTTTCAAAAAGACAACTAAAAAAGAAAGAATACTAGTGACAAAATTCAGGAATGAAGAACATTTAAGGGTGAAAATGTAAATTACTGGYACTACAAACTTTTCAGAATTSAAATGAACTGGAGACTTGTTTTTGTTGATTAACAAGTGAAGATATACCCATATATTCATCACACACAACACAGGTACACTCTGAGATACATAAAACATGCTTGAAATCAGAAATGATTTGAGTTTAGAAAAGAGCTCTGTAATGTATTATGAACAATGTGGATTTATGAACTCTTCAAACGCAATGTATTATGAATTATGTTACTCTAGATTATGGACTTTTTTTTACTTTAGATCAGATAATTATTGCTTCTTTCCTCCAATAAAATAAAACTTTAGATTTTTCATGCAAGAAAAAAAAATTATGGTTAAAACCACTAATTTGAGATTCAAAAATTTCCACTAAAAATTCACTTWATTTTGTCACTGAATATTGACATTTTCTCTACTGGTATGTGTAAATAAGKCAAAGCTGGTTACCAAAGCAATTTACCCTAAGGAAATCAGATAAACATAACTGAAGTCACAGATCCCACTGTCAAACTTTCTTCATTAGAAATATAATCAAACTTACTAGCAATCTCTTAAACTGTGCTCTCAGTCAGTACRCTCTGATCCAAATGGGAGCTGGGGCCGCAGTGGAGTTGGGGGAAGAGACAAATAAAACCTTGTAATACCAAAGGTGCGACTGAAATTGAACATTTCAGACTATTATATCTCTTCTTTAAAGGATGCAGGTGTATGTGTGCATGTTGTGTGGTCAAAAAAGCCTAAAGGACTTCTGAAAAACCCATAAAACTTTCAAAACATTTATTGTTAGGTTAAAACAAAAACAAACAAAAAAAAAGATTAGTCAATAAGACAGAAATGATGTTTCAGTTAATTACATTTTCYTTCCTATTACTGCTGACATGTTGCTACAGTCAAAGTACCTATTCATTAGGAACACTTTAATRTTTTCCCCAGCAGATGTTCATGCAAGTGTGTACAAGGTATTGTTTAAAAGTGGCTCAAGAGAACTATGGCAATATTTTAAGACTTAACTGGGGGCCTGGTGCATCCACACTGTTATGTGACATGATGTGAGCAGCACCGTGCACAACCAGCGAGCGGCCTCCACCCGTCACCTTTCTCCACTCACCATTGTCATCACAGGATTCAGACTGGAAAGAGCTAAGAGACTGCACTTCGGAMAGGCTCTCCCGGGCACTGTATGGCTGAGAAGGCTTTTCTTCTAGAGGTTTCTTGGAAAGACAGGGATCAAGATCCACCACTTTAGCTAAAAGAGATGAGAGACAAGCAATRAGTTCTATGTAGGCCAGGAATCTTCAGTTCTCTGCTGTGCTTTACCAAGTGACTGCCTAAAATTTATTCATAAATGAACCACTGAAATTTTAAAAAGAGAAAAATAAGCAACAACAACAGAAAAAAAAAGAGAGAAACAAAAAATAACAAAAACCAAACAAAGGAGTCTGTAAGTATTCTGTAATATTCAAAGGATAGCATTTCTCCATAAATAGGCCTATGGATACTGTTAGAAAGAAAAAAAAAAACTTTGATTTTTTTTTTTTTTTTAATGGTCCATGGAAGCTGGTTGTGGCACTGAGTGCCAATAATCCCAGCTATTGGGGAGGCTGGGGAGGGTCGCAAGTCCTAGGCAACTTTAGCAAGACCCTGTGGTAGAGCACCCTCCTTCCCTTGATCCCCAGTACAAGGGGAGGAGGAGTAGAGGGCACATGGAGCTTTTTTTGTTTTTTAAAGGCATTAAAATAAATGTTAASTTGGTAATTTAAATACTGCTACTTCTTCTGGCCATATTAAAAAATAATTCTAACATGGAAATGCTCCCTTCCAATTATTTTTTATTATAATAAACCCAAGAAAGATCCAGTTGAGAGCTTTTATCAGTTACAAAAATGAAATGATCTTTTCAGAAAATTAATTGGAACATGACACTAGAATATTAACTGGAACATTCATTAAAATAACATCACAGCCACAATGCGCAGTGAGAATTCAAGACATCTGAAAACGTTTCCCAAATCATAAGGATTTCAGATTCTGATCATACATCTCTCTAACAAGAGACTCCACATTTTGACTTGAACCACCAGTGGCTATGGCAGAACTTCTAATCACTGTTATATCTCAGTAACATTTTAGTGAGATGAAAATAGTTTTTCTCACCATCATAGTCAAAGTCCCAGTTAGGCTTCTGTATTGAGTCGCTGTCAGAAGGAGAGTTTGAGGGAGGTGGGGGAGGCAAGTTTGGTGCTA